GGAGGAGGACGAGGAGGAGGAGGAGGAGGAGCAGGAGGGACGAGGAGGAACTCGGACGAGGAGGCCCAAGGGGGAGAAGGAGAAGCTGGGTGCGCCCGATGAAACGGAGGAGGGACAAGGAGGAACAGGAGAAGGAGGAGGAGGAGGAGGAGGAGGAGGAGGAGGAGGAAGAGAGGGTAGGTGGAGGAGGAGGAGGAGCGAGGAGGAGGAGCAGGAGGAGGAGGAGGAGGTGGACGACGACGATGACGATGCCGACGTGGGCTGCCCCGGCTTTGCCCGCGGCCACGGCTCCGAGCCGCACGGCACCGGGGGACTGCGCGCCAGAGCCGGCGGACCCCAGGCCTCCGCCACGGGCAGCCGCTCGCCGCCGCCGCCGCTCGCCGCTGCCGCTCGCCGCCGCCGCTCGCCGCCGCCGCTCGCCGTCGCCGCCGCCGGCGCTCGCTGGCGCTCGCTGCTCGCCGCCGCCGCTCGCCGCCGCCGCTCGCCGCCGCCGCTCACCGTGGCCGCCGCCGCCGTTCGACGTCGCCGCCGCCGCCGCCCTTATCGTCGTCGTCGTCGTCGTCGCCGCCAGCGTCGCCTTCGTCACGAGCTCGCTCTCGGGGGGGCAGTCGTCATCGTCGTCGTCGTCGTCGGTCGGTCGGTCGGTCGGTCGGTCGGTTGGTCGATTGGTCGTCGTCTTTCCACGTCGTCGTCATCGTCAAACCCGTCGCTGCTGCTGCCGTCGTCGTCGTTGTCGTCGACTTCGTCGCCGTCGCAGTCGCCTCCGTGGTCGTCTCCGTTGTCGTTCGTCGTCGTGGTCGCTACTGTCGTCGAGATCGTTGGTTTCGTCGTGGTCGCCGTTGCCGTCGTTATTCGTAGCACTGCAGACAGACGCAATGCAATGTAATGACATGCAATGCCGCCCACAGCGATGCGATGTCCAGCAAAGCGAGGCCAAACAGAGTAAAGCGACGTCGTGCAATACAATGCAACACAGGTCAAACAAAACTTAGTGACATGCATTCGAATCACCACAATGAAATGTAGGTAAAATAACATCAAAACAATCATAGACATTAAGGCCGTAGCATGTGACATATTCTTTTCTCGTTAATGTAGTAGCTGGACCATGTATCGCGTAACAGTTACATCCCTTTCGCTGCAGCCTGTACCATCCCCCGACCCTGCATACCATGAGATGGTAGCTATACTACTGATCAGCTTGCTTCCAGATTCAACGTGCCCTCGGAAAGGAGACTACCCTGAATTGAGTCATGTTGGATCCACCATCTCGGGTCTCCCCGCCTCCGTTGTCCTCTCGGCGCGCCGTCGAAGCCCACGCGTGCCAAACCCGCCCCCTTGAACTTACTTAGCTTCTGGTGGTTCCTTCATCTCGCTCTGCGCACGGTGCCTCTTGGGTCATGCTCCTCCTGCGAGTGGTCCTGACGCTTTCTTGTTTTTTATCATTTCACTTCACCACGCCTCTCGCTCGACCATCTCCCTTCCCTGTCCGTCCTCATCCCCCAGGGAACTAATTTCAGTTGCCCCCGCCCCCCCTTTCCTCTCCTCCTCCTCCTCCTCCTCCTTGTCCCTCTCCCTTCACCTCCCTCAGCCCCTCTGCACCCCCCCCCTCCCCCCCTTTATCTCTCTCTCTCTCTATCCCTCCCTCTCTCTCTCAACTTTTCACTTCCTCTCTCGCATCTCTCTCTCTCTCTCTCTCCATCTCTCCATCTCTCTCTCTCTCTCTCTCTCTCTCCCTCTCTCCCTCTCTTGTTTGTCTCTCTCTCTCTCTTTCTCTATCTCTTCATAGCTCTCCCTCTCCTTCTTTGCTAATTGTTTCATTGTTCTCTCTCTCTCTCTCTGCCTTTCTCTCCGGGCTCGCCCTCTCTCATCCCCCCTCTGCCATCTGTTCCCCCCGCCCTCCCCCCGAATGCTCGTGACGGTCCCCCCTGAGACGCGCGCGTGGGTCGTACCCCTCCTTCCCACTCCCCCTCTTGATCGCCCCTCTCCTTCCCTCCTCCGCGTTATCGCCCCCATACCTGCTCTCGTTCGCCCCTCCTCGTCCTCCCCTGACTCTCTCGCACCCTCCTCCTCCTCCCCCTCCTCACCTTCCGCCTCCGCCTCCTCCTCCTCCTCCTCTCCACCCCCTCCTCTTCCTCCCCCTCTCGCTCCTTGTCCTACTCCTCCTCCTCCTCACCACCTTTCCCTCCTCCACCGTCCCCCTGCCTTCCCTCTTCCTCCTTCTCCTCCTCCCCCCTCCGCCTCCTCCTCCTCCTCCTCCTCCTCTTCCTCTTCCTCCTCCTCCTCCTTCTCCTCCTCCTCCTGCTTTTCCTCCTCCTAGCCATGCGGCTCAAGCGCCTGCATGTCCCCGTGGCTTCCTCAGCGCTGCGCCTGCTACCGATCATCGTTGGGTGAGGCGGCAGGTCGAAGGCGGGACGGACGTTCGCATCGTTGTTGGTGCAGCATTTTGGCATCGCCTCCTCCTCCTCCTTCTCCTCCTCCGTCTCCTCCTCCTCCGCCT